CACAAACACCCATCATCCAGCACTCACACACCCATCATCCAGCACACACACACATCATCCAGCACTCACACACCCATCATCCAGCACTCACACACACATCATCCAGCACTCACATCATCCAGCACTCACACACCCATCATCCAGCACTCACACACCCATCATCCAGCACACACACACCCATCATCCAGCACTCACACACCCATCATCCAGCACACACACACACATCATCCAGCACACACACACACACATCATCCAGCACTCACTCACACATCATCCAGCACTCACACACACATCATCCAGCACTCACACAAACACCCATCATCCAGCACACACACCCATCATCCAGCACACACACACCCATCATCCATCACTCACACACCCATCATCCAGCACACACCCATCATCCAGCACACACACACAAATCATCCATCCTCACGCAATCATCCAGCACTCACACACCATCATCAACACTCACACACACACACATCATCCAGCACACACACACACATCATCCAGCACACACACACACCATCCAGCACTCGCACACACATCATCCAGCACTCGCACACACATCATCCAGCACACACACACATCATCCAGCACTCACACACACACGTCATCCAGCACTCACACACACGTCATCCAGCGCACACACTGCATTCATTATGCACACTCTTCACTCACTACAAACACACTACATTCACTATACACCCTCTGCATTCACTATACACACTCTGCATTTATTATGCACATTCTGCACTCACTACACACTACATTCACTATACACACTCTGCATTCACTACAAACACACTGCATTCTGTGTACACACTCTGCACTCACTAAAAACACACTGCATTCATTATACACACTCTGCATTCACTACAAACACACTACATTCATTATACACACCCTGCACTGCACTATATGCATAGGAGTGTAATTTTTAAAAGGGGTAGGGAATCTTGGGTGAGTTCCCACACTTTTTTCCCCAGGACTTGACCCCTGATACCACTGGAAAAGTGAAACAGATAACCTAGAATAGGAGAACAGTGTTGGGGGAAAAAAATAAATGTACCGTATAACCTTCATACCAGGTTTGAGGTTTTATTTAAATTTAGAGGGAGGCCCTGACTCTAAATAAAGCAGAGACACTATATCATGAAGAATTCCGGTTTGTATTCCTAACGCTATAGTGTTCCTTTAAGTACTGAGAGTGTTTATGAAATACTAGTACTCATAACTCATAGTACTCATTAGTACTTATAACCAGTTAGAGCTTGATTTTTCAGTTCATATCAATACAAGTAACAGTTACTGTTTTATATTTTTATTTTAAATAGTAATAATAATGTGAATATATAGAGCTTGATCTGTTTATTGATATCAGGTAACTATGTGAATATTTTATCTATTAATTTTAAATTTGACCATACACAGGATTAAACTACATACAAATATACATTTTATATAGGTCCAATATTCACATGATTGTAAAATGGTCATTTCCCACACGATTTTTCAGCGATATTGATGGGGAAAAAACAGTCTAACTATGTTTAACCTCTACTGGTTCTGTAAGGATGGCTTGATGTATTTGTCTCGTCTTACATATAGTATGAGTTGTGCTAGGAAATCTAAACTATTTTATTCATAGTTTATATTCACAGTATAAAAAGTATTGTTTTCATTCAGCTAGCACAGTGATGTAATTCTTAAATCCAAATCAATACACAGTTTGTAACTACCAAACAAAATAAAACCCTCCAGTACTTTATGCTTTAAATTCTTACTGGAGATGAATTAGAAAGAAAGATCATTTTAAGATAAATGCTGTTTCTGAAAGGTGACATGACACCCTCCCAGTGGTTTAACATTTAACTTTGGCAAAACTCTCCTTTCCTGCTTGAATATAACTGACTTTCAAAGTAACTTCTGAAGAATTTCAGTAATATAATTGTTCCATTCTCTTTTCAGAAGCGAGAAGACAATAGGTCTACAGTGAACTCAGATGAGGAATGGAAACTTTTGAGATCTCTGCTTTAGTTAAAGCACAAAGTGGGTATTGTCTACGTTCATCAAATTCAGCTCTGATTGACAGCTGTGGCAGCTGCCCTGTCCATCGAGTGCAGCACGAATCCTGGGACTAGTCTTGAGCACAATAAAGGAGGAAGCGCATTTGAATTCCCCAATTCTTTAACATTTCCTTTTCATCCGTTACATAGTCTCTGTAATATAGTTTTTTTTTTTCCCTTGTAACATAAAAGCGACAATGAGAGACATAACAGAACAAGTTATTCTTATTAGAGTTTATATTCATGCACCTGAAAGCAAAAACTATTACAGGGTTAGTGCTACACATTTTTTCAATAGCAGATCAGCAATTTCTGGAGATATAGTTATATGATTCACCATTGTAACACTGTTTTTTAAAGGGTTACTTTTCAGCACCATAACCACTTTAGCCTTTTGAAGTGGTTATTGTGTAAGGGCCCAGCCTAAGGGCCCAGCCTCTGCAGCTTTTCAAGAACTATTTAGCTTTTATTTATTGATAGGCCACCTCTGGCTCCGGCAGCTATCTGAAAAATCTGTTTTCAGATAGCTTTGTCAATTTTATTCAACTTTTGTGCATGATTAACACAAGACATAGCATGACTGCCAATAGTCCAGAGAACAGTTCTATTCATGCTAAGAAATGAATGGAACAGCTCCTGGAGGATAAACTACTTACCCCCCCCCCCTAAACAGTGCACAGAGGGAAAGTTTAGGAAAAAAACTATTTTCTAAATGTTTTAAATAATGCATAGCTTCTTGTTAAGTGCGGATCATGCTTCATAATCTCAGATAGGCACTTAATTCTAACCATAACAGCTAGACCTACAGAAAGCGATGAGAAAGAAAAAAATGGGGTAGAGAATCCACTCACACAGAGTAGGTGGAAAGTCCAATCCATTCAAATATACCTCCTAATGTGGAACGTCACATAAATAGGGTAAATAAACCTTTATTAGAAAAAATGCTATATACACCAAAACAGTGTGTGTAAATAGTGATAAAGTAAATGCCAACACCAATAAAATAAAAGCCTGGGCACGCTAAACCCATAAAGTCACATTACTGAATATAGGATAAAGGTGAGTAAGTAATATTTGCCTTTAAACGGTCAAAGTAAAATCACCTAAATAAACTAATATATAAGTGACAACGCGGTCTAAGAGAGATCCTAGTACGCCCTAGACTGACTGTCTGGCCCAAAACGGCAAAAGCTTATTGCTGCTTCATGGCAGCCTAACGAAGTCCCTAGAAAGCTAATAGTAATGCTCAGCGCATGACAAACGCAGTGGGAGCCCAGGTAAATGCAGAAGGAAAAAAGGTGAGTTTAAAATTATAGCATCGGCTAATATCAGCTCGACGCGCGTTTCGGCGTGTTCTGTACGCCTTTGTCAAGAGCCCCTAAACAGTGCACAGAGGGAAAGTTTAGGAAAAAAACTATTGGCATTTTTTTACATTTTCTGAATGTTTTAAATAATGCATAGCTTCTTGTTAAGTGCGGATCATGCTTCATAATCTCAGATAGGCACTTAATTCTAACCATAACAGCTAGACCTACAGAAAGAGTTGTGACTATATCAATACACAAAGATCCGTACATGTAAGAATTCCAGTGTTCAGAGATATTAGTGACATGACATGCATTGGTTCACGTATAGGTTTGTGCTCCCAGATACATGCCTAATTCATTCTCAGCCTGCTTATTGCATATATAACACTGCTGCTCCTTATCCTCATATAATGTGTATACATTTGCCTGAATGACAAAAACAAAATCAAACAAGTCAATTTCCCCTTTCTCCTGTTTTTGTCACCCTCCAGTATAGATATTTCTCCACAAAAGCTCTAGTCAGAAACAATGTATCATGTGTATATAGAGTACAAATAATGTCAATTCTTTCTCCATCCCCAACACTACAATATACTAAATACCTGAATATATTCAATGCTGACAAATCTAAGCCAGGCATTAGGAGTTAGAAATGGCGATGCGCATGCATTAGGGTATATCTACAATGAGACAAAATATAAAAATAGAGATGTCAAACTAATGTATCTCCAAGACCTTTGCAACAAAGAATAAGTAATTAAAACAAATCTCCAAATCTCCAACATGGGACCAAAAGTTTTTTTTTCTTTTTAAAGGGACTGTCCAAACACCATAAATACTACAATCATGAATGTGACCATTTTCTAGCAGTTTGAGAAACAAATGGGCTCCCACTGGCACACAAAGCAGTTGACATGATAATGTGCCAATCACTGTCAAATTCTTTGGTGCTGCAGATATGAAACAGGCTCTCGTTGACTCTTGGAAAACAAAATACAAGCAAACAAACAAACAAAAATCGAAAACAGCATGACTGCTTTCATAACCAGCTGCTAGAATAAGTTGTGGTGGTTACGGTGTTTTGAATGTAATTTTAACCCCTTAAGGACCAAACTCTGGAATAAAAGGGAATCATGACATGTCCCACATGTCATGTGTCCTTAAGGGGTTAATGTGATTGGAGAGTCCCTTTGATATAATTTATGAAAGTGTTGATTTTTATTATATATAACCCTTGTATAAAATAATCCATAAGTAGCAATTTTTAGTTTTTAAAATGACAGCTGCAGAGTCACTGATTTTCTATGTTTTTCTTTGTTCCTTTAACCTAAAATAAGACATTGTTATTTTTCTCTTTTTTTTGTGTATTTTACAATATTTTAGACAAATCCAAATAGCTATTATATTGTATATTTCTGATTATTTAATAAATATGGTTACAATTAAAGCAGTTATGTGATTTAAGTTCTGATTTCTTATTATTGTTTTACTTTATTTTCACAGGACTACCGGTGTCACAAGTTTGGCATAGAGATTTTCTTGTTCTGAGATGCAATTCAATACAGATACTTAACAGATATTTAGACTAACCGCCTGCTGAATGAGAGCACCGAGTCGTTTTCATGGATCATAATAAGATAGTGCTAGTTATAGACCACAATTTATTATTGGGTACATAAGAGACACTTTAGTATGAAGCACAATATCTTCCCTTTGGGTATATTCCCACTAGTTACAAACCTCAGCTGATAAATTGATACAATCACTTCACTCAATCGAGAAGAATTAGTATGGAGTAGTGGCTTTTGGATTTAGCTGCAATGAGGTCATTAGTAACTTTGTATAAGAGCAGTCTCAGTAGAGTGGAGAGGGCAGAAGCCAGATTGAAGAGGGTCATGGAGAGAGTTCGGATTGAGGAAGTGAGACATACGGGTAAAGTCTTTCCAGAAGCTTTGAGGAAAAAGGGAGCAGGGATATGAGAAGATAGTTAGGGGGGGAGGATGGGTCAAGAGATTTTTTTTTTTCAGTAGCATGTTTAAGGTCAGCAGGTACAACGCCACAAGAGAGAGAGCAGTTGAAGATGTGTGTTAAGGAAAGACAAGAGAAGAGAGATATGATAAGGTGAGATGGGACAGGATCAAGTGGGCAAGTGGTGGGGCGAGAGGAAAGGAGAAGCACAGCCAACTCTTGTTCAGTAGCCTGGGAGAAAGTCTGTAGGGTAGGGTAGGAAAGGCATGATCTACGTGTAGTTGAGAAATAGAATGGCAAGGTGGGGAGAATTCTTACCTCAGCTGTTAAAACATGTTGGTAAAGTAGCATGCAAAGCTATTGGTTGTAAGGTTAGTCTGAGGGGTGTCCACAGCAGGGCGAAGAAGACCCCTGGGATTGCGGGAGCATGAACTAATGAGAGAGGAAAAGCATGACTGTTTGGCTGGTTTGGGGGGTTAGGCTGATGATGTTGGGTGAGGGGTGCTTGAGACCAAATGATAAGAGGTGGTGATCAGAGAGAAGATATGGAGTGTTGCATATATTAGATATTAGATATATCTAAAAATAAAGTATGCTATGAATGTTGAATTTGTTCTTCAAGCCGCATTCTTACTCACTGTGATCTTGAGTGAGACACATAGTGATTAGGTATAAATTAGTTGAAATTATTCCAATCTGGTTATTCTGGAATTCTGTATCATATTTGAATCAAGGTAAAACATATTTTAACAATTGGCCTATAGTTGACAGTGAAATTGCAATTATCCTCAAATTTAGGTAGACTTCTAAATTTATCCCTCCCCCCCACCTCCAATAAATGTAAAAAGTCTGGATTAACTCCATTCTCTTCCTTCACCCGATATGTGGGAAGTGATGGGTTATGTATTGTACCTAACATTTCCTTTCTTTACATAGCTGTAAAAAATAATGTATTTTTACTCATCTTCAGCATACTTCTTTATCTTCTGCCAACTTAAATCTGTGTCCTTTAAAATAAAAATAAAAAGCTGTTCCCCTCAGTTATGTCATATTGTTATATTATAAACAACATTGTTTTACCACCTATACTTTTCAACATTTAAATGAAGAAAGAAACCATCATGATGATTTTCTACAAGAATGTGACCTGACTATCCATTTTCTACCCATCCTAAAGACTACAATGAATAACTCATTGCTGGACACCTAGTAAATGTTGTTAAACTCTTATGGACTATCCATATAATACCTTGATATGTTGCTGTGAAGAGCATAGATATTCCAGTTTTCATCAATGGACTCATGTAAATTTGAAGTTTATGCAAACATATTAAAATTTCAATTCATTATGAACAGTTATTCTTTGCAGAGCACAAAAAGGAGAAAATGGGAAAAACAATATGTTTTTTTTTATCTTAAACACAAGTGACTGAAACTGTGTCAGGTCCCCACCCTGCTGTTAACTCACCTCTCACTTCCACGCCTTGTCGCTCCTTTCCCTCTGTAGGATGCCAGCCTGTGGAGTGTGCTGGTTCAGTCGCAACTCTCCCTGAGATCTGCTCTTCCGACGTCTGGAGTCATTCGCATGGCATCCGGTAGGATGCTGTGATTTGTGACCTTACTCAGTTGATGTCCAATTCGCAGGGTTGCAATTCGATCCTCATGCTGTGGGTTCCCTAGGTGCAGTGGTGTACTAAGGAGGGAGCGGGGGGGGAGGGGGTGGTCCGCCCTGGGTCATCAGGTAGGGGGTGCCACCATGGCTGGCCAGACTTGGGAGTCAGTGAGCTGTGTGGCTGCACCGGGTGCCATAGCAGCAGAGGCACCGGGCAGCCGACACAGCTCACACGCAGGGGCTGGGAATACAGCAGGAGACCTGCATGGAGATTTGGGGGCGGGGCCAGATCGGCCGTGGGGGCGGAGCCAAGCCAGTTGTGGGGGCGGAGCTAAATGCAGCATCATACTGCTGCACACAGAGGGGAAGCAGGAAGGAGTCCCTGCTTCCCCAACTACAGCACAGGAGGGACTGAATCCACTCCTCCTCCAGCCCAGGCTTACTGTAAGTTAGAGAGTGTGTGCTGTGTGTAACTGTGATTGTGACTGTCTTTGACTATGTGTGTGATTGTCTGCTTGGGTGTGTGTGTGACTGCCTGTGATTGTCTACCTGTGATTGTCTACCTGTGATTGTCTGTGTGATTGTCTGCCTGTGATTGTGTGTGTGACTGTCTGTGACTGTGTTGTGTGTATGTGTGACTGTCTGTGATTGTGTGTGTGACTGTCTGCCTGTGTGATTGCCTGCGTATTTGACTGTCTGCCTGTAACTGTGTGTGAGTGACTGTGTGTGGGACTGTGTGCATCTGACTGTGTCTGACGGTCTTCGCCCTGCAGTGAGCCGGCAGCCAGGATATGATATCATCGCGGCCTCTGCGTCATTACAGGGCGTGCGACAGATCCCAGCAGCAACCACTGACCACCAGGGACTGAGGATCCACTTCAGCCCTTCTAGAGCAAGCTAGGGAGGCTGGGTGGACCTCTTAATTATTAAATGTGTGTATGTATGTAATGTTTGTGTGTGTGTATGTGATTGTGTGTGGGTCAGTGATTGTGCTTGTGTATATCTGTGATTATGTGTGTGATTGTGTGTATCTCTGCGTATGTGTTTAGTAGATAGCTCCCTTATTTCCTGTCCTCAAATATTGCAATCCCACATAAAGATAACAAATAAGGGATTTATCTACTAAACAACTGAAAATAAGAAAAGGGCTTTTTTATCCTTTAGCTGTTTAGTAGATCATTCCCTGAATTGGTGCCCGTATGTGAGATTTCCATATTTAAAGATACCAAATGAGGGTGCTGTTTAGCAGATAGCACCTTATTTAGTGTCCTTAAATATGACAATCCCACAAAGGATAGCAAATAGAGGAGTTATCTGCTAAACAAAGAACAGAACATGCTGGCATCAGACAGCCAATGGCAGCATATTACCCCATCCCCTAGTGAGAAGTTTTACTGCTCCCCCTCCCCCTCCTGTTTTGACTGTGGTATCTTATGTGCCCCCCCATATATATTGTTCCTAAAGTCACCACAATGTCTGCATGTGTGTCAATGTGTATCTGTGTGTGACTGTGTTTGTGTGTGTATGTCCGTGTATGTGTATATGTGCAGACATCTAAAAATCTCGCCAACACTACACACAAATACACTCTTGCATTTCAACGTCAACACTACATACAAACCCCACCATTATATATAACCATACCACTGCATTCAAATACCACACAACACACAAATGCATGCTTGCATTCAAATGCCAACACTACATACAAACACACCGCTACATTCACTCACATATACTCCATACAAAAATAAGCATACATTCAAAAACACAAACACTGCTTAGTGCTAAATACATTAACACATTTTTTAGTTGTTTTTATATTTAAAGTTGAGGGGGGATGCCAAAAATAGGACCCGCCCCGGGTGCCAAATGCTCTAGGTACGCCCCTGTCGTGTGCATGTTAAAGAGGAGTGATAGTTCCTGGCAGGGGCTGTGTGTTCGTAATATGAGTATGATGTGGGGGACAGCGTACGTCTCCTCCGTATAAGTAGACTGCTCTTCCAGTCTTCCCTGCACAGTGTTACTGTGCTCCTTGTTCATATAACTTGTTTCTTTTTGCTCCTCCTTTACAAACAAATTGTCTTCTGGTATTTGATCGTTGGCCAGTTATCTGTTTCTGAACCTCTGCTGCCTTATCTGATCACTTGCTTTCTCATGCTTGCTGGTACCTCACCTAGAGTTCCACTCAGCATTCTTATATATACTCTGGCTACTATTTTACCCTTGTCACTCTGAGATTTGCCAATCAGGCTGATTGTTATATTTTGTTATCCATTTCCCTTGAAGTAATTTTTAAATGTTACTTGTTTTTGTTGTGTTGGAACCTTTGAGCGTTGTTAATATTTTTAAAGATGCTTATTTCAGTGGGCATTGGGATTAATAACAGTTGCTGGCAGTGGGATTTAGCAACACAGAATTCGTGTTTATATAGAGGGAAGACATCTGTATTAGCCAGAGAAATGGGTATACACACGTTTCTTTCTTCATTATCCAATCACATGATGCACATTGAGCGAGGAAACCCTGGGTTCTGTTCTGGGTATTGAGGTTTCCATGGTCCATCACGTATTTGTTAGTTAAGTCCCAATTAAACTATTTTCTTGTGACTAAATTCCTGCTGTTAGTTGATGCTCAACATATAATCCTCCCTTAATGGTTTATCAGGAAGACGAATCCCCTCACATGCAACAAATTAGCATTTTTTAATACAAAACTATATTTCCATCTGAACCATCATCAACTTGTCCTCCTGTCTAAACTGACACATAACTACACATCAGCCAAGTAAATGTAGATAGAGTGACTGGTCTCATGATTTACAATCTATCTATTGCCCTGCATAAGTAATAAAAAAAATACTACATATCTGTCTTCGTGGCTGCAAAAAAATATGAATCAATAGATGTAATTATCATTAACTAAAAGCAAAATAAATCACTCTAGGTTTATGACAACATTCAAACATAATTTTTTTTGAAGAATTGCCTATAACATTTGAGATGTTACCTTTGACTACACTGCATGAATCATCTGTAACATGCATCTTCAGACTCTTTCTTGTAAATTAAGAAAGAACATTTAGCAAATATGTATGTCTAACTAAACAAGACATAACAATTATAAGTAACGATCTAGTATTACCAAATGCCTGCATAGCCTGTTTTGTACACATATAGTTCAAGTGATACAATTCAAAGCAGAAAATGCAATTATTTTTACTCAAATTCTGTATGCACTATAAAAAATAGATGTGATATGCTTATAGGAAACTATCAAAGTTGTCATGGTAACTGCAATGGTAAAATATTCATACCACTAGTATATTGTAATATGTAAATCGCCTTATGTGAATGTATCATTTTACCTATTTATTCATTTTTCTTCTACTTAAAGATACCCATGTGTGCTATTTTTCCAGTGCTATTATTATTAATTATTTATTACACACAATGACATTCCATAGCAGTGTAATATTATTAAATTCAGGGGTTTTACCATGTTTGAAATGGAACCTAAAAAAATGTAATATTCCGTCTTGATGATAACTAGGTTTACACCGAAAGACAATTTTACAGTGAAATTATTATTATTATGTACTTTCACAGAAGAAGAGTGAATATGCTTGTAGATTTGGTGGTAATGATTGCAGTACTACAAGATTTATGCATTAAATATCTCCATTTCTACAAAGATTTACATTTTCCAACTCAGTTATTATGTCCTAAACAGGATAAACTGGGAGGTTTGTTCTTGTAGAAAATGAAAACAAGAGAACTTAATACATAACTAAGTGCAGTTCACTTTAACATTGTACTTTTATTAAATAATTCTAAAATTAGGTGTATCCTA